TTAAAATCCTGTTTATTAATTCTCCCCAACTCTTCCATGGAAAACAGTAAAGGAAGGAAGTTGAGGGAGGCTGGAGACTTTGTATCCTGTGTCCTTCAAATGGGAGTGGCTACAAATAAACTAATCTGAAGGACAAAATACTTCATCTGTGTTTTAGAGCACAAAAAGCAGTTAGTTCGGTAGTTACAATTGCTACCAAAAGCAACAACAGTTCTTTAGTATTCCAAAAAAACCTCTTTAAGAACTCTGAATCTAACAGCCAAAGGAAGATGACAAATGCAAAAGTACTTCTCCAGTGAACTCATCATGAAGACAGTGATGGTTCAACACAGTACCAAATTTCCTTTTTCAAGAAGTCAGCTGTATTTAAAATGGAGAAAGGAACTGTCATACGGATAACAGAAACCATAAAGAAAAGACTTCCTTGCTAGGTCATCTCCAGATAATTAACCTGACATGAATTGAACCAAGTTGTTGGTGCACAATACCCCCCAACACAGGATAAATCAGGTAAGGCAGAAAAAGAACAGAGAAGAATGCTGTTAAAAGAAACTTAACGGCATAGTTCTAGGCATGCCCGTTCAGAAGTCTTTTTTAGTTTCTGGAACTTGTTTACAGCTAAAGATAAAGTAGATAAGATTTGAAAGGAAAAAAGTGCATCTGTGTATGTATTCATAGTCTTTTCCTATGACTACCCAATAGCTGTGGAAGACAACCACTCAGAAAACAAAATTCAACTGCTTTAAGGCATTGTGCATGTCCTCATGTACTCTGTACTCACCCTTTGATCTTAAAAGTTATGAAACTATTCACTTAAAATGGGTTTTCCTTAGAAAGCATAGGAAAAATGTATGTAGAGGAATTTTTTAAATGAAAGGGTGACATGATATCATAATAGCTGGACTTTCAATAAGAACCTGATAATTCAATAATGCTAATTATATTTTTAAATGATTATAATCACATTTGTGACATCATTTTAGCAACATGTTCAGTAGTAGTTACTAGACAGATTGCTAATATTGCATTCTGTAAACTACAAGATGTGCTGAATTGTAACAAATGGGTTTTGAGAATCATTTAAAGAAAAAATGCTCTGCTTTTCCTTTAAAATTCTTTTTTTGTGAACTGAACAAAGTGAAAGAAATCTAGAAAAAATATAGGATAGCAACTATTGGATGATGGTGTCCTGGGGCTTTCCCAATAGAAAATAATAAATATTACATAGTGAAAGTGAGAATCAGAACTATAAAATCTCACAGCTCCATTCCAGGTCAAATTTTATTCATTTGTAATTATTCTTTTTGTTTGTCTTGACTTTGCTATAACAGGACAGATATATATTTAATAAGGTTAGGCTATATTTCTGTGGTTCTTTCTTTGGTTCTGTGATTCTTACTTCTGCCTTATTTCTGAATATGGGATGATGTTATGAAAGTATTTATTTTGAACTTTCACTTATAGTTGTTAGAATGAGTCCAAATGTAAAAAATAATGTAGTTTCACTTACTGAAATTATGGCTCAATTAATATGGTAGGGTGGTGGTAGTGTTTGCCTCAAAGAAGAATCTGTATGGAGAATACTTTTCAAGAAGAGTGGAACACTTTTCTCTTAGGAATTGATTAATTATGCATTCATTCATTTTACAACCATAATATAGCAGCTGTATAGCTAAAAAAGCACAGTGGAACTGTGATACAAGAGCTGTCGTTTCCTTTTCCTGTCTCTTAATGCTTATGTGTGTTAAAGTTTAAAAAGTCTTGTTCCTAAATGGGTTTTTTTTCTATAGCAAATTAAATGAAGTTCTCTCCCCCAGATTCATTTTATTCCATTGGGAACAGAAATGGTGTCCATCTTATTCGCAGCATTAGTCTTAATAGCAATGGAGGTAATGACTGGAAGAAGGAAATCAATTTAATTAGTGTTTAATCCTATTTGGATTACATAAATTGCAAAAGGCTATTTATGTTGGAGCCAAAATATTATAAGGAAGTTCTTACTACTGTGAGAAATAATAGTCTATATCAGCGGTTCTCAACCTGTGGGTCGTGACCCCTTTGGGGGTCGAACGACCCTTTCACAGGGGTCGCCTAAGACCATCAGAAAACACATATTTCCGATGGTCTTAGGAAACGAGACACCGCTCCTCTATCCGTCTCCGCATGGCTTCGAGCTGGGGGCCGTTGCAGTGCCAGATTCGTTTCCGTCGAGCATCTCCTAAGGGAGGCCGCACTGCTTCGCGGCCCTTTCCACGGAGGAGGCTGAACTAAGCTCTGCCAGCGCTGTCACCCTCTTGGCTCTCTCTCGCTCGCTCTCTCCTTCTCCCCGCCTGGGCGCTTCTCCAACCAGGCTGGGCGGAGCCAGCAGAGCGGCCTCCCTGCCCCCCCTCCCCGGCCAGCTGGAGCCGGACAGGCCGGCGACCTTCGGAAGTGAGGTGAGGACAGGCAAGGCGTGCTGAGCCCCGGGCACGGCGGGTGAGTGGGCGGCGTCGGTGCGCGCTTGGAGAGCCCTTAGGGTTGGGGGTCACCACAACATGAGGAACTGTATTAAAGGGTCGCGGCATTAGGAAGGTTGAGAACCACTGGTCTATATGGACTGAACCAGAGTTTAATTCTTAGAGGATCCTTGCTGGTGAATTTGCCTATCCAATTCTAATTGCATATTGAACTTGTGGTTTTTTTTCAACTTATGTTATATGGATGATTTTACAGATGCCACAAAACTATTGACTATAATTCAGAGATCACACATGCTATAATTATATTCTCAAATTTCAAATGGCTTTATTCGATAGACAAACCACTCTTAACCATGACAAGAAAAACTCATCAAATAGATCTCTTATAATAAGACATTGAAAACATGTTGATGCCGGGAACTGGGAGAGAAGAACCATGTGTTCTGTGGTTTCTACGTCTCTGGAAGCACAAGGGCAGAACCCTACCATCCAATACTGCAGAGCATCATAAATCTCAGTTATCTAAAAACAAAGCAACTATTGAGTGCAGTTTCCGGGAATAATCTCTGGTGAACTTTACTTGCCTGCAATAGATACAAATTTTAAAATTCAGTAAACATTAATATACCACTTTCAGAACTCAAATGCAACATTTAGTTTTTAAGATAAATATAAAAGTGTGTTAATATTTATGCCCAGCAATGAGAAGGAACCACGAAGAGTCTCTGCTGTGTTATTTTCTCCATTCTTTGACTTCCTGAATGTCAATCTGCAACAATAATAGAAAAACTTGAAAGGCTCACCTCATTTGCTTTCTGGAAATCCATTCACTATCAGGCATTTTGGCAGATGATATCATTGTTCCTGACCTGATAAAGTCCATGTATTAAAATCCCCCTTATACAGCTGATAAAAGTAGTATGACAGATATAATGGAGATCTGTTGCGGACAGATATGGCTTCCAAGCCTACTCAGTAAGACTTTCCTAAGTCTTCCTTAGGGAGAAGCAGTAGAAAATATTTTTTTCCCCAACTAGTCAAAGGTTGGAACAATTTAATCTTTTAATCAACACCTTTATTATGATTTAGAAAAGATTATGGACTAGCAGGGAGCTCCTATCTTGAAAGGTACATATAGTAATACACTTCTAATGACCAAGCATGCATTCTGTTACTATTTTTGATGCGTTTTTCTGGAGCTTCAACCTAGAAAACGTTGCTGTTGCTGGCCCTTGTCAGGGCAGAGGGATTTACCGTTTAATACTGAAGTGCAGTTATGCCTTTAGTGAAACATTTTACAAGCTTCTGCTTTGTCATATCTAAGAAGGACACTTTACTATCCTGCTCAGAAGCGTTTTGACATTTAGGGGTCTTCTTGGCTCTTGTTGAGGAGCAGGTGGCAGCTATGGCCAGGAAGGTCTTTGCACAACTTCAAATGATATAAACCAGAAGGCTCTACTTGTGATCACTGATGCCTTATTCATCTCCCAGCTGGATTACAGCGATGTGTGCTTTATGTGGTGACCTTAAAGACCACTTGGAAGCAGTAATTGGCCTAGAAAGCAGTGTCATGGGTAGTTATGGATATACTATGGCATGCCCATGAAACATCACTGCTTTGCAAGCTTACTATCTCCCAATAGTCTACAATGTGTAATTCAGGATGCTGATTATCATTTATAAAGCTTTACATGACACAAGACTGGGTTATTTTCAGGACTGCCTATCTCCAGTTATATAATCCCTTCCACAGGCTGGGCATGCCCCAGACTCTTTGTTGTGCCAATATCATCTAGTTAGATCCCTTCTAAGGTCTAACTTGGAAAAGATAGCAAACATCCTCTGGAGTGACCCTCACCAAGACTTTATTGGCCCCAAAACCTGCTGGGTTTTTTTGGGGAAAACATTAAAACCCTTTTTCATATGGATTGGAATGTTAGATGTGCCTTTCTTGGGGATGGATGATGTTATAGCTGACCAGAATGCATTTTGCTTTTTATTTTAGTTTTGTTGATTGTTGTTTGTAAAGGGTTGTTAGTCACTCAGAGTCATTATGGCAAGTGGTAAAAATATAAATATTTCCTTCCTCTGTCTAAAAACTGAAGGATTCCACTCTATTTGCTACATTATTCATTTTGAGCTTTGTCAAAGGGAAATCCTTTGTGCAATAATATTTTTTTTCAGGGGAAAAACAACAATTTCATTTGCCCAAATGACTGAGAATGAATAGACTTGGTTTCAGAGGAATGAGATTAATTAAATATTAATTGTGATCTTGCCTGTTGTTACTTCAATAGAGAGAGAGAAAGGCACTCAGCACTATCCTTGAAATGCAAGAATTATACTTATTTATTTATTCATTTATCTCAATATTGATTTTACGATTTTAACTCTTTATGGAAGTTTCCATGGGAGATGATCATTCATCCACTGCAATCTGTAGCTGAAATAAAAAAAGTTTCAGACTTTCAGTTTAGTGGATTAATTTCCCTAGCACTAAGATATAGATGTAATATTTTAATAGATTTTTCTCCCTTTCAGATGAGAACTCACCAGCAAATTTCTGGGATTCCAAAAACCGTGGTGTAACTGGAACACAGAAAGGGCAGATCATATGGCGAATTGAACCTGGTCCCTATTTCATGGAACGTAAGTTTTCTGATAACACAGAATGTATATATGTGAACAACTCATTTCTAGAGGAATCCTTGGAATCTTTGCAATGAGTTTCTGAAACATTTTAGTATTCCCTAGAATTTATATCCTCTCAAAATCTTATCAGGCAAGAGACAGTGGCAATATAAAATGTTGATTGAGAAATATTGGTAGATAAGCAGTGAATTCCTACATATACGTATTTTGAGGCAAGTAGTGTTATTAAAACTGCAGAAAAAGGGAAAGAAGTAGTAAGCAAAAGGAACTGGATCAAGCAGATAAGGAAACAGAAAAGGAAATTAAAGTAAGTCTAGGGCAATGATGGCGAACCTTTTAGAGACCGAGTGCCCAAAAACTGCCCCCCACCCCCCGCTCCACCTCCCACCCTGTCTGCTACACCTTCGTCCACCCCCTGCCCCACCCAGCCGCAGGGCCACGCACCTCCTCCATGGCCTGCTGCAGATCGCCCAGGCAGCCCTGCAGCGCCATGGCAGCCACACCCTCCGCCCACACCCTGCAGCATCATCTGCACGCTATGGGGTGCGAGGGCAGAGTCTTGTCCCTGCTGCCTGGCTATGTCCTTGGCTGCACTGTTCCGTGCGGGCCACGCCTGGGGGCGACTCTCCAGGGGGGCTGCTGGTGAGGGGGCCGTGGGGAAAGGCGGGGTTGGGGTGATGGCACGCGTGCCCACAGAGAGGGCTCCTAGTGCCGCCTTTGGCATGCGTGCCATAGGTTCGCCAGTACTGGTCTAGGGTTATGCCTTGTACTTCAACTCTGCAAACTTAGATATTCTTGCTAACTATATCCTTCCTTCTGTCATGTCTACATTGCAATTCATACATTAACTTTTGTTCTTTAAATTGCTTGCATTTCTTGTTTTAGGTTCAGCTAAATTGTGAAAGTATCAAGAAATCTATTAACATCTTGTTCATATTTTTATCTTACTTGCTTTACAGTTCTTGTTAACAGACTATCTAGACCCATACCAGTCGGGCTTCAGGCCGGGACACAGCACGGAAACGGCATTGGTCACGTTGGTTAATGATCTCTGGAGGGCCCGGGACAGGGGTTATTCCTCTGTCCTTGTTCTTTTGGACCTCTCAGCGGCTTTTGATACCGTGGACCACGGTATCATGCTGCGGCGTCTCGGTGAGTTAGGAGTGNCTTGACGTGATGGCCCGTTGCCTGGAGGCCGTACGGGTCTGGATGGGGAGGAACAGACTCAGACTCAACCCTTCCAAGACCGAGTGGCTGTGGTTGCCGGCACCTCGGCATAGTCAGCTGATTCCATCGCTGTCTATAGGGGGCGAAATTTTGGCCCCCTCAGAGAGGGCACGCAACTTGGGTGTCCTCCTGGATCCACAGCTGACACTGGAAGATCATTTGTCGGCCGTGACCAGGGGGGCGTTTTATCAGGTTCGCCTGATCTACCAGTTGCGTCCTTTTCTGGACCGGGACGCTCTGCGCACAGTCACTCACGCTCTCGTCACCTCCCGCCTGGACTACTGTAATGCTCTATACATGGGGCTCCCTGTGAGGAGCATCCGGAGGCTTCAACTGGTCCAGAATGCGGCCGCGCGGGCGGTGTTGGGAGGGACTCGTCGCTCCCACGTAACGCCGCTGCTGCGCGAGCTGCACTGGTTACCAGTGGCCTTCCGGGTGCGCTTTAAGGTGTTAGTTACCACCTTTAAAGCGCTCCATGGCATCGGACCTGGATATCTCCGAGACCGCCTTCTGCCACAGATTTCCTCTCACAGACCAGTACGCTCCCACAGAGCGGGCCTCCTCAGGGTGCCGTCAGCCAAGCAGTGTCGGCTGGCGACCCCCAGGGGGAGGGCTTTCTCTGTGGGTGCCCCCACCCTCTGGAACGAACTACCCCCCGAGATCCGGACGATTCCAGATCTCCTAACTTTTCGCCGCGCCCTCAAGACATGGCTTTTTCAGCAAGCGGGTCTGGCCTAGGGAGAATTTTAAATAGGGACAATTTTAATTAGAATTTTAATGTAACACAGCGGTTAAATATTTGTTTTTAATTGGTTTTTATTGGGGATAGTGCCTGTATTGTTTTAATATGCTGTAAGCCGCCCTGAGTCCTGTTGGGAGAAGGGCGGCATATAAGTTTAATTAAATAAATAAAATAAATAAATCTACTTCTGCTTTTCTCCTTGACAGTTTCCTGTCAAGAGTTCTGAATTGAACTCTAACAAAAGCAAATTCTGCTGTTTGAAGTGGTTAATGGTTTTGATCATCATGGAATTCTTCATCAAAATCTGTATTATTTAAAAATAAAAAAGATTTACAGTGTATATGAACCTGAAAGAAAAGCCTGATCTGCTGAGATAAGACGCTCATAGCATTGCTTAATTTTCCAGGGGTGGAGTTGTACAATTGGATGTCATACTTCACACCACAACAACGGATGATCTCACCCAACAGCCTCATGTAGATGTTGAATAGGAGTAAAGAGAGGACCAAATTCTGCGGTATCCCACATAGCAGTTGCTGGGGGTGGGATCTCTCCTCTCCAAACACCACTGAGTCTTATCAGGACTAGAACAGGCTTCCTGATGAGGTGACGATTTTATCCATGCAATCCTTTCCGACTGTTGACGTTTCTCTGGACCAGGCCTCTCCATGTCTTCCGATCTTTTATTTATTTATTTATTAATTGCATTTATATCCCGCCCTTCTCCTTACGGACTCAGGGCGGCTGACAATTGAATAAAATACTAACATATATACATATACTTAATTAAAATTTGATTAAAACGAAATATTTAAATATGTCCAATTTAAAAGTAATTAAAACCCCCTTTAAAATCCCTCAGGCCAGTCCCGCTAGTTGGNGCGGGTCTGGCCTAGGGAGAATTTTAAATAGGGACAATTTTAATTAGAATTTTAATGGTAACACAGCGGTAAATATTTGTTTTTAATTGGTTTTTATTGGGGATAGTGTTTGTATCGTTTTAATATGCTGTAAGCCGCCCTGAGTCCTGTTGGGAGAAGGGCGGCATATAAGTTTAATAAAATAAATAAATAAAATAAACTATCCTACAGCTTGAACAAGTGTGAATTGTCAGAACAAATTATTATTATTATTATTATTATTATTATTATTATTATTATTATTATTATTGTTGTTGTTGTTGTTATTGTTATTGTTATTGTTATTATTTTTGTTGTTGTTGTTGTTGTTATTATTATTATTATTATTATTATTATTATACTAGCTGTACCCGGCCACGCGTTGCTGTGGCTCAGTCTGGTAAAAGCGTGTGTTGCTTTTATGTCCAACAGATGGCGCTGTTTTTCAAAAATCATGTTTTTACCTGTCACAGGTGTGACATCTATATAATATAGGTATATAAAAACACGCGCGTATTCGAATGCAACGTTGTGTCAAAATTTCAAAGCAATCGGTGAAGAACTTTCGAAGATTTAAGATTTTGAACAAACGAACATTTACATTTTTATTTATATAGATTATTATATCTACAATTAGATACATAAGATGGGTGGAAACATATTAACTCAAGTCCTAACCAAGGACCTAATAATTATGAAGGTAGCATTAAAATATAAGCTGTTCCAAGCAGGATTGCTTTTTTTTTTTTTTGTAAAATTAGAGTATTCAAGTCTGACAAATTCAATACTCAATTACTTTGAAACACATCCAATTTAGTACTCAACGCATTTTGACGCAAAAATGTTGTCCAGGTACTCATTGTTTGTTTGGTACTCAATGCACAAATTAGAACTTGTCAGTGTCAGCTGCCTTGTGACTCATTATATTATTCCTGATGGGAACAAATTGTTTAGTATTCATCATTTTTGATACTCATCACGCCTACTGGAACCAAGTACCGATGGGTACCAAAGTACCACTCTATTATTATCTGTTCACAACAATGTGAAATTATAGCTCAGTTTTTTAACTGATGTTGGCCTTTATATGCATCAAATTCTTCTGTAGGATATTATAATGTATTGGCATAGTATATATGATATCCTTCTGTATTTGACAGATGGAAATTTTGTCAATATGCATATTTTCTAAGTGCCATCCATGATTTTTTTGGTAGGGCACTCTGTATGCCAATAACCACCAGGACCACCATGACTGGTTGATGCCATAATCTTTCTGTTTCAATTTTCAGATCTTGATACTTTGTGATCTTCTCCAGTTCTTTGTCTTATACCATCCTCTGGTATTGCCACATCAATTATCAACATTTTCTTCCTTTCAACTACAGAGAAATCAATTGTGTTATGAACTTTATCAGTTTGTATTCAGAAATCCCATAATATTTCCACCTGGTCTTTTTTCAACTGCTTTTTTCAAATCTGTTTCCACCAATTTTTCAGTACTGGCACATAATTTTTACAGATGTTCTGATGAATCTTTTTGGTGACTTTGTTATGTCATGGTTTATAATCATCTTGGTGGATGAAAAAGAATCCAAACACAGGAATGTGGTACTCAGATTAAATAATTCAGAAGAGAACATGAAGGGGAGTTAGAGGAAGAAGGAATGATAATGCTGTCAAATACAAACCTTTGATCATCAGTGTAATAAGCCTTTGCCCTCCAGCTATCATTGGTTAAAAAGACAGGCTGAATTTGTACTGCAGCATTAATGCTATTAGAGGAGCTGAGAAGTATGGCCCTCCCCATACTCTGGAGAAAAGAATAAAACGGGAAATTTCCAATTGAAATTCTTGTGGCTTTGACAATGTCTGATAAGCAAAGAGGAGCTCCCTTCCCCCATAGAAAAGCTGAAGGAATATTACTTGCTATATGATGATAATGTGGCAAATTGCTCTTTTGGACTACTGTTTATTTATGTATTTATTAAATTTATATGCCACCCCTCTCACTATTCCAAACAATCCTGAGCAGCTTACAGTACAGTAAAAACAAGAATATAAAAACATTAAAATTAACGGAGGTTGTATAAAACGATTGCTCTCCCTATTATATTTTAGAAGGCAGAGCCCATCTTTTCTTCCTAGCTTCAATGGAGGATAAGCTGGTATCCTGAAGCTCAGTAATATGGCTTGCTTCCCCATGTGATTAAAAGCTTTGTGCTCTCAATTCTAGAATAACTGAAATAAATAAATAAAACATTCAACTTTTATTCTAGATGCATTGTCTATAGTGGAATGAGCAAACTGCAGTCCCAAGGCTACATATATCCTCCCAAACTGTTTTTAAAGCCATTGGAGTTCCCTGGGATGGTCTCCATGGCATAAAAATAAAAAGGTGGTATTGTAATTAACCATACTTTTTAGGTTATATGAGTAATTATTCCCCTGAAATGGAGGGGGGGAGATAGAAATTCTTGGTCCTACTTTTTTGCTTTGCTCAGTCTATTCCTTTTATATCACTCAGTCCACTCTAGTCTGGTGGACTAGGCAGCAACTTTCATACCATTTTTGGCAACATTTTCATAGACATATAGGTACAGCATATACTAGAATTTCAAATGGCTATTGCATTGAATTGTCATAACTCTGACCTATAGTCTTCCTAAGACAGTGGTGGCGAACCTATGGCACGGGTGCCAGAGGCGGCACTCAGAGCCCTCTCTGTGGGCACGTGTGCCATCGCCCCAGTCCTAGGCCTTCAGCTGGGTTTTATAAAACCTTTTCGCTTTAGGCCTCCGCTGCCGTGTGCAAAAAAAAAGGTTCAATCAATCAATTTCAACTTCTCGTGGGAAAAAAAAGATCTCGCAAAGTTGAAATTGATTGATTGATTGAACGTTTTAGACCCATCCAGTCTGCCATTATCACTGAAGCCACGCCCACCCAATGGGCCACGCCTACCCAATGGGCCATGCCCACCCAATGGGCCACACCCACCCGGCACCCAATGATACATAAGTGGGTTTTGGGTTGCAGTTTGGGCACTTGGTCTCTAAAAGGTTCGCCATCACTGTCCTAAGATGTTCTTTTTGTCATCTTAAGTAGTATTGACAGAACAATACTAGTTAAATACTTCCATACTCTTCCAAAAAGTCATTTCTTATTCAGATATCTGATTTGAGATAAATCTCATCAAACCCCCTGAGCAACAATCAAGACCAGAGAAGCATAGCAATGGAACAATTCCCTCTGACCTTATGTTAATAAAGTTTATTATTTAAAGGAGGATAATATAAGAACCCCAACAAATAACTTAGTTTGCAAATATGGAACCTATTTATAGACTTTCTCCTGTGTTTTTGTTTCCAATATGAGAAAGTGGGGTTAGTCACAATATCTCCTCTACTGTGAGGAGAATCCTTTCCTACTGAGCCCAGTGAAGAAATGCATACTACTAATCGTTATCAGATAATCCACACAATCCATTCTTCTTCCTTCCTATTAGTGCCATAAATTAGGATTTGATTTAATGCTTCTGTGGTGGTAATTAAAAATGGAAGGGATATAGCAGGAACTAAACCTTAGGAGTGTAGATTACTGAGGGAGTAGGGCTTCTAGGTGATTATTGAACAAACTTACTTATAAATAACTGACAGCACATAATTATTCATTTCTCCTTTTATATTTTATCTTAGTGTGATAATAGTTGGGATGACCAAAATGACCCTACATTTTTACATTCATGTTGATGTAAACATTTTCTGTTTAAAAGTTTTCAAAGCACCATTGGTTTCAGCTAAGGAAGTGTACAATGTTGACTATAAAATTAGACTTTTTAATTTTTTATTCCTCTGATTATATGACTGTGTAAGAGTTGAGATATAATAACATATCATGCCTTAGAAAGAAAAACAAATTTATATTATCTTGTGCTGCAATTCTGAATTAATATTTTGGCTAGATGCTTAAGTACGTTTTTTATTTTCTTCATATCCTTTGTTATGATTCATTAAAATTGAAAGTCAATAAAAATGGCAAAACTTTGTCTTCTCCCTGAGGAAAATCAGTTGACAGAATTAATTCTTGTAATGAAAGAAATAGTACTAAAGCTTGTGGGAACTGGCCATAAAGTTGAATGGTCTCTATCTCTGGTACTGAGTCATAGATATGTATTTACAGCAGTTCATCATTTATATTACTGTTTCCACAGGGAGAATTTGTATGAATTGAGTCAAAGAGAACTTTTTGATGCTTGTGTAATGTTAATGAAATTCTTCCTGCCTGCTTGATGTTCTGCCCTGTTCCCTTTCTTTGCCTTGTGTTCTCTTTGTAACGTTCAAGTGTAGTTTGGAACAGTAATTGATCAATCCATTATAGCAGTTGGGATGAAATTTGCAATTCACGTAGGAAGTGTGGAAGAAAAAGTAAAGTGCTAAAAATATATTCTGCACAGATTCTTGATTCTCAAGTTCTAATTTGGGGTACTAAAATGTAGATCTTAAGTAACAAGCAACACAACAACAATAATAATTATATATTCAAATTGCCACCCAAATCTCAACAACTCTGAGAAGATATTGCAGCTGATAATTACCTTGTCTAGAACTTAATCTTGGACTAATAAGCACATCTGGACTTTTGAAAGCGTATTATGGTTCTTGATATAAAACATGAGGGCTAGCTATTCCTAAAATGTCTGTTACAAACTTCCAATTCAGCAGGAAGTGAATGAGTGGGAATATTCCTGCCAATCTGTAGCCCCTCAGGACCCTTATTATCAACCTACCAACTTACCTTTTTGAATGGCAAGTATCATATTTAAAAATGGCTGGGCTGCAGCCTCCTGCCATTTTTATTTGTTAGGCATGGCCTTCTGACTTGTGACTGATTGACTTCTGACTTACTCAAAAAGGGACAATGTATTACAGTGAAACAGATACAGTTTTGGATTCTTGGGTCCAGGAAAAATGATGGGTGTAGATTCTTGCAGTTGTTTAAAAAACAAACTTGGGGGGAAAAATAGATGTGGAAAGCAAAGAAGGAAAAAGCTGAAATCCTTTGCTTAATTGGGCTGCTTAATTTTAATTTTGGCATCTGTATAGTTTCAATAGCTTAATAATATCTGTGTTGCTGCCAAAGGTTTCAAGGGCATCTCTTTTGGAGAAACAATTATTAGACTAATGATCTCATTATTTAATCAAATTGCTACAATTTAAGTAATATGGTCTCAATGAATTGTGGCTATTGCTACCAAAGCAGCTGTTCCATTGACTGTCTTCACTTACTATGAATTGTGCAGAAATTCTTATACTTCTTTCTCTTCATTTTTTTCCCTTTTAGCTGAAATAAAAATCTGCTTTAAATACTACCATGGTATAAGTGGAGCCCAGCGTGCAACAACTCCATGTATCACTGTGAAAAACCCTGCTGTGATGGTAAGTATATATATTGCCTACAATGGATCAATCTATTTAACACTAACATTAAACCTGTTAATTTAGGTTGACAGTATTTTCCAATGAATTATCTGATTTAATGAAGATATCTATATAAAGAGGTGATGAGTGATATTTTGCCGCTAAAGGTTACATTTCATTTATTCTTAAACTATTTAATTTTAATGTATCTTGAATTTTATCATTTTGTTTTGTCAGATAAGGTTGTTTGTGTTAGCTTAACGGCTTCTCAAAATCTGGTTTATCAGGTGCCATCTCTGTGGTCCTACTAGACCAGGGGTAGGCAACCTCGGCTCTTTTATGACTCATAGACTTCAACTCCCCATAGCTGACTCAGGAATTCTGGGAGTTGAAGTCCATGAGCCATAAAAGAGCCAAGGTTACCTACCCCTGTACTAGACTATCGAATATCATAATTATGCCTCCTTGACCTTTGCTAGCCTGCTTTTTTAAAGGCTGAATAAAGCTAAATGTGCCTCTGAATAGAATTTGATTCTATTTGGCGATCTGGAGTGAGCTCTGAATGCCCTTGTACGCTGCCCCATCCAAGCACTAACCAGAACTAAATCCCCTTAACTTTGGAGGCAAAAGAAAGTTGGTCACCTTAGGCTGAGCTGATCACAATAAAACATGTTTCCTTCTCCTTATTTCCCTCTCCCTGCCCGATTCATTGTTATTTATGAAATAATATTGTGGTAGCTTAACAACTTTGTAGAACCAATTTGATGTAGTGGCTGTGGCAGCAGGCGAGAAATCTGAATTGTAGTCCTGCTTTGGGCACAGTGCCAGCTTGGGTGACCTTGGGCCAGTCACACACACTCTCAACTCTCATCATGGTTCTGATAGATGAAACTGATCAAAAGACCTTCAAGGCAAGAATTCTTCCTCAAAGAACATTTTATTCAGGAAACAAAATATCGGCACTACATAGTTGAACCCAAAACTAGTTTCCCTTCCCCCGATACAAAGTAACAAATTGCAATTCCCACCCCCAATAAGCAGTCATAAATCAGGTTCTCCAATTAGCCTGAAACACAGGCTTTCTCCCCAGCTCCTCAGCCCGCCAAAACGTTATCAATTCGTCCTTGGGTTCCCACAAAGCAGCGTTTATTATTATGGCTAGCTGAGCTCAAGCATTCATCCCAACCCCTCTTCTGCACCTGATTTCTAAATAGAAGAAAAAGCATGTTAAAAGCAAAGAGAAAATGGCTGCGATTTTCATCAGTTGTCAGAGCAGGAACATCCAATGTTTACAGCGTTGACACCGGCAATGGTAAGCCACTTCAGAAAAACCTTGGTGGTGGAAACAGTACACTCAGAATAGCCTTTCCCAACTTGCTGTCATCCTGAGGTGTTTGCTGTATCTGTTGTATGCTTTGAACATCAGTGAGGCTGACCAGGGCTGTAGTTTTTCTGGTGCAACAAATCTGACTAGACTCGGCTTCAAGAAGGCTGTGTTAGCAAAGCTATCTTTAGTATTTATGCATGCACCTGGCCTGAGTAAAAAAAAAAAAAGCCCCCATAACTTTGGCTAAATGTATACTCATTACAAATGTATATGTTTGAATCATACTGTAGATAAGAGCAGGCTAGCAACCTCATCTCAGATTCTGCCTAGCAGAATCTGGAATATCTAGAGACAGTATTACATCAAATGTTGTTGACCCAATTCCTTTTTTTAAAAAAAAGGCTTATAAATGCAGTGGTTGAGAGTCAGTTTAATACAGTGGTTAAAGGTACTGGGCTAGAAGCTGTGAAATCTAGTCCTGCTTTAGGCACAAAGCTAGCTGGGTGACCTTGGGCCAGTCACACACACTCAGTCCTGGGAAGCAGATAATGCTTCTGAAAAACCTTGCAAAGAAAACTGCAGGGTCTAGTTCAGGCAGTAGTCAACCTTAGTAATGAAAAACTAATGATTTCTTCAAACTACCTTACTGAATAAGCAAGATATTTTAATGATTGCATTTATTCCTTATACTGTACAATTCATTGAAACAGACATACTATGCATATTTAATTACAGTTTGTTGTAGAATACAAAATGCAGATGAAGCCCAACTGCAATTGTGTTCAATTTCAGGTAATTACACCCTGAGTTTTAGAAGTGTAACTGGCTTCCCTATGCTTTGCAGTAAGGTACTCATACTATTTGGAGGCATTTGGAGATTAAGGAAACTATTTTCTACACTCTGTTTACACAAAGGAAATATTGAAATGGACCTTTTTCTCTTTGAAAAGATTGATAAGAAAAAAAATCTATTGGTCTCAGAAGCCGTTTAGCTAGTATTTGGTGGCAGACACAAATAAGAGCAGTGCAATTTGCGATTCTCAACAAAATAGGTAAAATAAATGAATCATGTCTCCACCAAACCTGAAGATTCCAGTCCTCTATATTCTGGTGATGTCACTGCTGGCAACCCCTGATCATTGAAAAAGTTGATTTAAAAAGTGCTGCTATTGGCCAGCAAATAATTGTGCACCATTGAAATAAACAATAGCATAATAGCATGCGGTATAATAGTTAAGATGGGATAGTCATTATTATTCAGGTTAATTTCATAGGATTGTTATAAAATTAGGAAACATCCTTGCCTAAATCATGTTCAGCTCCTTGAGCAAGGTGGGTAGACATCTGATAAAGAAAATGATATATCATTTTCTGATATAATATGAACATGACTCTTAAATATGACAACAACAACAACAATAATAATATAACCTATATATCAGTATATATAATTCAGTAGATAACAAGATTCACCATCTTCCCTGTAAATTTAGCAGTAACCAGGAGGAACAACAGTGTATTTATTTGTATAAAACAACTATATGGAGAAAATAAAACTTACCACAATAAAGCGTATTTATGTCTCTCCTATTCTTCTATTAGAGATTCAGATCAGCTGAGGCAGATGCCTAGAATTGTCTTTTTAGCTGTCACTTCCTCAATTTTCTGCTCTTTCTAACCTGGATCTTAAGGTTAAATAAAACAAGCTTATTTATCTAATAATTAATTTCTATATATCAGCATGCCAAGAGTATAAACAATGGGTGAAATTTGGAATGAGAATATTGCTGTTCAGGACTGAACCAGCAAGAAAGCCAAGTCACAATTCCCAAGTCAAGTTTTTTTCTGTTCTGTTTTCAGTTTGATGGTCAAAATTCTATAATCTGTAGAAACCATTGAGTATGCTTAGATGCTGTGATCCTTTTAATTTTAATATATTTTTATTTTTTACATTTCAAATTTATCATATCTTCGATTTTATCCAACCACAGTGATAATTCCCTCATATTTTTCATAGTCCTATTTGGATTCAGTGCTCAAATGAATTTGCTGTAAGAGAGACTAATTTTTCTCTCCTCAAACTGTTCATCCCCTGCTGGGTCAAATCAATAACTAAAACTATAACCTTGACTGACTTGTTATTTTTTAATAACAAATCAATATGTGTGCCACAGAAACCAAAATGGTATTTTGAAACAAAACAAAAAAACCATACACTGATATTCCTCAAAAGCCACCTGTTTTCTCATTAGTAATTCTGGTACAACAAAGGATATTTAGTTCACCTATTTTTTGTGCACTTACATTAATTGATTCCTATATAGAAAGTATTTTAAGCATTTAATAAATGAATCACTTTGTTCTATATTTAGAAAGGGTTTTTTTCAGATTTTTCTTATATTTTGAACTGCAAAATACAACATAAAATATCCTCTGTCTTTTAGATGGGGGCAGAAGGCACTGATGGTGCTTCTACAGGTCAGCACTGCCGAAAATTAATTAGTTTTAAACTCTCAGGTAAGTTTTGCTTATTTTTTGTCCCTTTAAACCAGAGCATTATGAATTTTTTATAGGGAATTCTGTAGAATGAATATAAATCAAATAAATTTGATGGTTCAATTTTAAGTAGAAATTTGAGTGAAATTTAAGAGGAATTTCTCGTGAAAATAATACTTTGGATCCAGTTTGTTTGAGTCAGGAGAAAGAAATTTAAAAAAGAGTGAAAATAGAATGACTGCAGGAAGAAAAGCCAAGTCCTGTCTGAAAAAGTATTAGAAGGTCCACAGAGTGAATAGAAAGCAGAAGGAGAAGAGGATGGAGAAGATGCTTGGAAGGAATTGCCACAGAAGAGTGTGGGTGCTCATTATGAAGAGAGACCTTTGGTTGAATGATGAAGTGAAAAAGACTGTGAATGTGGAAAATTATAAAAGAACGATTGCTGAACAAGTGAGAATTGAGAAGATGTTATATAATGTGTATACAGAGAAAATACAGTTGCAAACACTATGATGAAAGAGAGCAAGGGACAGTTAATATTAAAAAAACGCATTTGGGCAATCTCCCATCCTCTCCTGCATAGAGACGTTCTGAAGAGTGGTCTACTTACTGGTGCTTCAGTTTTTGCTTGCCATACCTACACCAAAACTCTTCTTTTACCTAATTTCTAATATGTACAATGTTTCCATGAGTTAGAGTGTGTTATACTTTGCAGTGCATGCAGAATATAAAGTTATGCAGAGCACGAATGAATACCCAGTGTACGCAAAATTTGGTACACAATGTTTCTCAAACAGAAGGTCTTAAAAATTGAGGAGTGGCTCAGTTTATCTTCATCTACACTTCTTTTGGGTCAAATCTCTAGGTCCAGCTTTTCTTTTCTTAGAAGAGTTACTGTTGGTCTAAAAGTTCCATTGAATAAATAATTTTTGACAATAACATTTTAGAAAAAAAAGTCACCTTGGAAAATATTTTGACCTCAAATCCCTGCCCCTTATGAAATTAACTATACAGCTTCTCTTACTATGTTAATGGCCACAGTTTAGTACTGCTTTATTGAGCTGTCCAATCACATCTAACAATCATGTTGAACAACTGTTACATTCTCATCTTATATCCAAATGAATGCACAAGAAATATAAATATTTCTTTCCATAAATATGAAAGTGACTTTTTAGTAAAATAAGATGCAGCTAACCCTATTTCAATTCTGTAGAATTTCTATCTATGTGCAAATACAGATGTAGAAAAGCTAACATTATTTATTTATTAAATTTATAAATTTATGCCACAATTACTTTATATATGAAAAAATAGGACGTGCTTCAGATTGAAAACTATTAACGAAATTCAGAATATCTCATGTTCATTTTAGGATATAGTAAGACAAAGTTTACAACTAAGTGCTTTACAACTTTTGGTTTGCAAAGCTAATAAAAGGTGAGATTATAACAAGTTAGATTGAGAAACCAGCTGTAAGAAGATATTGAGGATATATACTATTTTTTGAGAAATGATTTATTTAGACACATTTGATTTGGATCTCAAGTATTTTTTGTCTAAAATGCTTATTTTTCAAAACAAACTGGTGCCTTCAGTTTTGCAGAAAATAGACATGTCTTGGGTCCCACAAATGAGAAACTCATATGTCAGTTCATCAGCAGCTGCATCTTCACTAAGTAAAGAGAAAATCTTTGTTGGGTTGTTGTTGTTTTTTTTGTAGAAGGATGAATGTTTAGTATGTCAGTGGAAAAACTGGAAGAAGGAAGCTCCTCTCCCAATTTCATAGCTCAAGTAACAATTATAGATAAAAGTTGTAATAGCAGCTGGGAAGAGGAGCAAAGGAGATGCCTTTGAAAAATGTACCTTCCCAGTGCCCAGCTATGAACAGATCTGAGGATCTCTAACCCTCTTTGCCCTCCCCAGCTGCCCCCTCCTCTGTTGCTCAAACTATGCTCTGAAAATCCCTCTAACGAAGCAGCTGTTAAGAACATGTGAAAAGTTGCTTCAGAGGGAGGAAATTGCTGTACTCTCCCTGGTACAAGGGAGCAATTTGTCAGCAAAAAACCCTTAATTGGATATCACTCAAAGTTGTCTTGGCTAACTTTTTCATCCATTTGCTCTCCTCCCCCCCCCCCCAAATATGGATAATGTTTTCCAAGGTCAGCAGTCTTACATCACTACTATGTGATGTGAATACACTGATAGGTCGAACAACTCTGTCTTCATCAACAGCAACAAGAATGTTACTGTTCCTCAGGCTTCTGGACATGTGCTCTCCTTGCTCCAAAACATTTCCAATATAATAATTTGTTCAAAGTAAATATGGCAATATTGAAATTAAAAAAGGGAATACCTTAAGATTGTACATTACACGGAGCATAGGTATAATTCCATAGCCTCACTCAAAACTTGAAAAATCATTGAAATGGTTTATTTTGTATAGTGTTCAAATCCCTATGCTGCAAGCATTCTCAAATTGGAAATAGTGAATGTTTAAATTAAGTTAAATATTTTAAATTGGCAAATGCTATACGTATCAGACACTATTTGCTCCTCTTATTCATGTTTTCGCTTATAAATTGCCTTTGCAAATAATATGTAGTTTTCAGTTTCAGCAGATGTGCACATACCATTATAAATTCTGTCCCCTGTTTTTAAACATGTTGAGAGAGGGAATTAGAGAATTAATGTTAAATATACATGTAAAATAATTCTGAATTGTTTTCTGTAAACTTTTTTTTTACATTACTAATAGACAATTTGTTTCTCCTGGCATGTGTCTCTATAAAGAGGCTCTATTTATACACTGATAGATTCTCATTTCAGTATAGTGAATTACTTCTAGCCACTGAATGATAGCTTTACTACACAAGTTAGGTTGTGAAAATATCATTGGTCCAATGAACTAATTGGATGCATACTTTCTAGATTATTAATTCCAAATTACTGGTTTAACATAACATCTTTTGTATATGACATTGCTTGATGAAAAAATAAGTCTGGTATAAGATCTCCAAGATTGTACATCTCCATCTCTGGTTTTCTTCATAGTAATGCAAAATTATGTTAACAACATACAGAGTTAAAGTGAGACATTAATATTGTCTTATGCTAACAAGTTCTCAGTTTTATGTAGCTTCTGGCCATTGCTTTACAAATTGATACAGGTTTTCTGACAACAGAGATAGCTTTGCTATTGCACACTGAAAGAGATTGCCTTGCTGCTTTGGGTTTATGGATTCAATTTATTAGTGCTAAAATCTCATGTAATTTTGGGTGGTCAAAATGGTTTTCCATTCCTGCTTTAATCTGCAGCAAGATTTTTCATCCTGGAGTAATAGATTAGTTATGTTTGTCTCTAGTTTTATTTTATTAACTTCTACAAGCCATTAAGTATAACTCATTGAAGCTTCAATGATCTATGGTTATTACTTAGATGTGTACGGCAACTCCCCCCCCTGCACAATGATGCCAATCATTTTTTTTTAAATACTTGAACACAAAATTTATCTTTGACTGATATCTCTCCTTATTCTTCTGTAAAGTTAGCTTCTTCCTCACTTTGGAAAATAATGCATCAATACAAATTACTAATGGGTACATGCCACTGTAAGGCTTTATTCAAACTAGGATGTCATAGTGGCTAGTTCATCATTTTGAATGGCTTTGACATATATGTTCAAACAGTAGTATGTCCATGAAAAGGTTCAATTTTGTAATCACCACCTCACTGGTATAAACAAATTTAATGTATGCAGTGAATTTTCTGTAGCAGCATTATTCAACCTGATGTCCTTCAGCTATGAGTTCAGCTTTGAGCTGTGGTGGTGCAGTGGTTAGAATGCAATACTGCAGGCAAGTTCTGGTGACTGCTGGTTGCCTGCAGTTTGATTCTCATTGGCTCAAGGTTGACTCAGCCTTCCATCCTTCCAGGGTTGATAAAATGAGGAGCCAGATTGTTAGAGGCAATATGCTGACTCTGTAAACCACTTAGAGAGGGCTGTAAAGCACTGTGAAGAGGTATATAAGTCTATATAAGACTATTGCTATTGCTATTTCACAATTCCCTGCTATTGTGACCAGTAAATCTATATAAAAGCAAAGTGTTATGTTGTTGGAAGACTTAATGGTAGATTGGAAAAATAATTTTTAGCAAGTATGCCTGATGTACCGGTAGTCCTCAACTTACAATAGTTCATTCAGTGACCGTTCAAAGTTACAACTGTACTCAAGAAAGTGACTTATGATCGTTTTTCCCACTTATGACGGTTACAGCATCCTTATGGTCACATGATCAAAATTTAGACACTTGGCAACTGACTCATTTATGACGGTTGCAGTGTCCCAGGATCATCTTATGTGAACCTCTGACAAGCAAAGTCAATGGAGAAGCCAGATTCACTTAACAACTGTGACACTAACTGGACAACTACACTGATTCACTTAACAACTGTGGCAAGAAAGGTCATAAAATAGGGCAAATCTCACTTAATAAATGTCTCAACACCAGAAATGTTGGGCTCAGTTGTGGTCGTGAGTCGAGGGCTACCTGTATTTCTTGTATTATTATTATTGTTCTCTGTTCTCCTTTCTTCCTTTTCTGTCTTTTAAAGATATTCGGGCCATTGGACTTAAAAAAGGAATGTTCTTCAATCCTGACCCTTACCTAAAGATGTCCATTCAGCCTGGAAAAAAGAAAACGTTTCCTACATTTGCACACCATGGGCAGGAAAAGCGGTCCAATATCATCAGTAATACAACTAATCCTATTTGGCATAGAGAGGTAATAAATGGTTTTGAAGAAAGCTTAAAACTGTGGTACTATTGCTTGGGCACCAGATTATAATGTTCTTGCTTATAGCTGCCCATCTGTTAGGTACAGAAGCAGAGTGCGATTTTAGATGATATTTACCTGGACATAAAGTGAAAAGAGAAAATTTGTGAACCCTTTAGAGTTGTCTGTAATCCTGCAGTAGACTTACAGTATGATCAGAATTTATTAAGCCCTATTGTTTTTATTGAATATATTGAGGCAACAAATTCACCATCTTTTTTGATGAAAATATGTGAACTTCTTAAGGTCTAAGGGGGGAAATTGAGTGAGATGTTTCATTCAGTCAGAAAACAATCAGATGGGAGCTTGAGAGTCATTCCCTGCTAATCCCCCCTCCTCATATATACATACATATATACATACATACATACATACAGTATATACACACACATACATTTATACATACACACACACACACGCACACGCACAGTATATATACCTGTTGAGTGAGCCCCATGGAATTGGCTCTTCATGACAATATAGACCAGTGGTTCTCAACCTTTTTAATGCCGCGACCCCCAACCGGTCGTAAGTCAAGGACTAAACCGGTCATAAGTTGAGGACTAAACCGATCGTAAGTCGAGGACTAAACCGGTCGTAAGTCGAGGACTTTCCCTGCCCGGGAGCGCCGCACATGCGTGGTTCCGCCTCCTGCGCCGGCCGAGGCGTAGCTGGCAAGCGGCAGAGACGGAGCAGGCCGACCACCAGCTGGCCCAGCTCAAGGGAGGTAAGGCACCCGCCGGAAAAGGGGAAAAAAATGGCAGACAACCTTGCTTGGCGACCCCCGTGAAATGGTCGATCGACCCCAAATGGGGTCCCGACCCATAGGTTGAGAACCGCTGCTATAGACCTCAGAAAAAGTGTCATGGTTTCTTAGGTTAAATGCACTATAAATCTATTGCCAAAGACTTTGGCTTTCGGCAATTCAAGGTAGAAATATAATCTACAAATAAAGAAAACGCAGCATCATTGTCACTTTTCCCAAACTTATTTATCAAACAAAAATCATTACAAGGTGCAACATATGGGAGGTTGCAAAAAACTCCAGAGTAATGGTAAAAGATCCACAGGCTATTCTTACATTGTCTGATGCCAGTGTTCAAGAATCTAACATATGTAAAACATTGAACAAGAGTGGTATTTGTAGGAGAATATTGAGCAAGAAACCACTGTTTTCCAGAAAGCACATTGCCACCTGTCAGAATTTATTAGAGACTGTCTGGATGATCCAGCAGGCTATTGGAACAATGCTTTGCACACTGATGAGACAAAATTGGAACTGTTTGTCATTTATGAAAAATGTTACATTTGGAGAAAATGAAACACTGTGTTCCAATAAGAGTGCCTAATCCTAGGCATGAAGCATGGCTGTAAGAGTATCTTAGATTGGTACCACTTTTTAATCTCAGAATCTGACAGTTCTCAATCACTAAGGGAAGATTGGTGGCAAAACATAGAATGTTCTAATGGAGATGTATTCTTGTAAGATATCACTAAATTCATGTTTATGTGAAGTCTTTGTGGCTGAATGTTTTCTACTTTTCCTATTTCAACAACAGTCTCAAACAGTTGTCAATGGATATTTGTGAAATATGGATTATGGTAATTCATAATGTCTATATAGGAATAATTCTTTTAAAATATTGCTGAACAAATAATAGATATACTTACCTTCGTTGCTTGTTTTATGAAACATAGATACATATGTATTTTATGTTTGCAGAAATATTCTTTTGTAGCACTTTTGACTGATGTCTTGGAAATTGAAATCAAAGATAAATTTGCCAAAAGTCGTCCTATCATCAAGCGTTTTCTTGGAAAGCTCACTATACCTGTGCAGAGACTATTGGAAAGACATGCAGTAGGGTAAATGAATGTTTTCTTTGTTCATTTTAAGCCTATCTGAAGGAAAGGGAAGATTGTTTTCCTTTAAAAGACTTAAATATTTGGTCTGAACTTACTTTATTTACAATTCTTAAGCTTTTCTGTTATATATTGTCTCACTCTTTCAACACAATCCCTCATATACCATTTTAACAAGTTGTTTTTTTAATTAAAATGTGCTGAATTATAAGACACAGGTTCGTACAGTAGTGTGCAAATTTATTGACAGCATTATTGCCTGGTTAAAAATATTTTAAATTATTTTATTGTTGAAAAGATGCAATTAAATTCAGTAAGGTTAGAATGTATATATAATCTCGCTACAGATATTTTGCGAGTTTTAAATTATTATTTTTCCAATCAATACATTTATAAAGTTAATTTGCTTCTTAAACAACTGTGTAGAACAAGGCATTAATCAAACATAGCTGATGTTAATGTTTAATACTGTATACATTAAGAATCTGTTTAAAGATATGTTGCTGTATATGGTAAAAAACTAACGTTATGTTTTAATATAATGTAAGTCAGATTGGGACTTACTCATATGTTGAAAACTAAAGTGTCAGATAGAATACCTACATAAAAATTCTAGGAAAGGGACATACTAATTAGTAAGAGGGCTTGCTACAGAGAACGTGAAATGCAATACTTACTTGGATGCATTCATTAGAGGGATTGATATAATTCCCATAAGGTTTGTGGAATGGCTGCTTCACCACGTTTGGCACACAGTTTTGCTTGGGCACACATTTAATGTGCCTTAATTAATTGCTGAATTGCATTCTGTAGATTTACTAAACAAGAATATTAGTTATTGATGGAATACTGTACCACTTTTTATTGAGGCATAAGAAAATTCCCAGGGAATAGGTCCAATGAGCATACAGTTCAGATCTGTATCTTTCTACTAGGAAATTAAGAACCTGACTGAGAACATTCTGAAGTTTGTGGAACACTTCACTTGGTTGTCAATAGGCATCTAATCAGGCATACACTGCATACAGGTGGGTGTGCATCCGTGATTTAACAAGCACTTTGCTGCTTAGTAAGTGAAATGCCACTGTGGATCTCCCCTCTGAAATTGTGAAACAGCTGCAACCACTCAAAGGCTTGACGAGACTTCTTCAAGATCCTCCTGAGGACTTTTGGGCATGTGTTCATATTGCCTGTCCTCAGTTCTACAAAGTTTCCATTTCATCACAGTGTTGTCATGCTATTGCATGACTATTAAGAATCAAACCAGTTTGTAAACAAATGGCTCCTTTTTCACAGATTTTCTCAGCAATATAATACGTTGCATATATGGAGAAAGACAAATTCAGTTTGAAAACAGTTATCAGCTTTTCCCAAGTGGGGTTGATGCAGGTAAGAAAAATACATTGCAGATTTGAAAAGAAAGAACAGGTTACTTAAGCTATGTTGGCCTGTGAAATGAGTTTCCCACTGAGCCAGTTAAATGCTGTAGTCTTCTAAAACATTCAGGATTCTTCATTAAACTTGGGTCAAAGTTGTAGAAGGAAAACACTGTGCTGATGCCCTAAAAAGTAAAGTTTCTAAAATTTCAAATGTTTTTTCATGTTATATTTTTTGCTTCAGCAACTGTATTGTAATCTGAAATTCAAAATTGTGCTGTGCTAATCAAATAGATGTGTTTTTAATAAATTTGCACACTACTGAATGCTACAATATAATTATCAATCCAGGAAAAGTTTAGGATATTATTTAATCATTCACAAGGTGTTAAGATCTAGAGCAGACATGTCAAACTCACAACGTCACATGACGCCGCACAACGTATTGGAGCTTTTTCCCCACTGCCGGCAATGGGATGGGTGCGGTTTCCTGGTGACACGTCCGGCCCGCGGGCCAGCAGTTTGACACCCCTGATCTAGACTGTTTACCTCAAAGGTCTTTTTCCTTAGTGCTGTTTACTAGAATATTATTATGATGTGGAAGCCGATGCTGGTGACTTCTTCCAGCACAGTAGTATTAATACTGAAATACTCATTAATAAGACCTGACTGGCCTCTAATTCTAGGTTCATGTTTAAAAAAGAGATTAATGGGAACAGTTTCTTACATATCCATAAAATGCATTTTTCTTGTAGCAATGAGTTTGGCCCGTTTATAGATTTTGTCTGCCATCTTGTGGTCACATGAAATTGCTCCATGAGGTACTGGGCATTTCGATTTGAATATGCTATACATATTCAGTGTACATATACATTAACTATACCCCATCACTACAAACAGCCTAAATCATATACTGTACAAAGTTTACATTAAAAAGTTCTTTGTGGTACAGTACAAACCATCTTCTGGGAGAATCAGGAACCTGATCAGAAATATTATTATTTATATAATAATATATAAATTAATCTTTATTCTGATCCCAACATTTATTCAAAGCAAGGCATATTAGTGGAATTTGAGAGCTTAAACCATTCAGTAAAATGTAGCAATGGCTTAGTCCCGTGGTGGCGAACCTATGGCACGCGTGCCACAGGTGGCACGCAGAGCCCTCTCTGTGGGCATGCGCGCCATTGCCCCAGTCCTAGGCCTTCAGCTGTGTTTTATAAAACCTTTTTGCTTTAGGCCTCCACCGCCGTGTGCAAAAAAAAAGGTTCAATCAATCAATTAATTACAACTTCTCGCGGGAAAAAAAAGATCTTGCAAAGTTGGAATTGATTGATTGAACTTTTTAGTCCCACTCAGTCTGCTGTTACCACCACAGCCACGCCCACCCAATGGGCCATGCCCACCCAATGGGCCACGCCCACCCAGCACCAACGATACTGGATGTTTTGGGTTGCGGTCTGGGCACTAGGTCTCTAAAAGGTTCGCCATCACTGGCTTAGTCTGTCTTCCACCATTTTTAGACTTGATCATAGAGTTGTTACCTTTAGAAACAGTTCTAATTCAAATGCCTTGGGAAAATTCCCTGTTGGGAAAGTGGAAAAATTTCAGAATCAAGAATTGTTAAATGGCTAGGTTAAATATTATGAATTGAATTAAATAAAATATCCATATCACTGTTGGTCATATGCAGAAAAAAAGATGCATGTTAAATTCTGTATCTAAAATAAAATTATGTGTAATGTTTAGAGGAGGAAATGATAAATATCTTTATTACAGCCATGGGCAAAGGGGATGTTCATACAAGAGAGTGAAACATTTAATTATACAACCTATTTTGTTTTTTTTAAAAAAAGATATTTTAAAAAACGTATGATCATTCATTTATTTATCTTGAACTCAATGTAGTTGCAGGCATTTTTCCTTCTCTATGTTATAAGAACCTAGACTGTTTGAATTAATGCTTCATAAAATTTTCAATGGTTAAACTTGTTTCACATAAGAATGTATTGGGAGTGCTAGATACAAATATCAAATTATTTTGATTAGTTTTATCTTTTTATATTCTCCTTTATTTTATGCTTCTCAACAAAGATTTTCTTGCCACTTATGTATCTAACAATCAAATATTAAAAAATATACGTGTAGTATGATTAGCAGGTATCAGCCTCAGGTCAAGCCTATCTGCTCAAAAGCTAATTAATAGTAGGATTTGATATCATTGTTAACTGCAGCCTGGATTAGGAAACGTGTAAGCTGCCTTGAGTCCCCAAGTGCGAGTAGGTGGCAATATAAATTTTCTAAATTAAAAAAAACAAAACAAGGATAACAACTAAAAAAAAAAGCCAAAACAGTGCTGGGCTGCATTAACAGAGGGATAGAATCAAGGTCATGTGAAGTGTTAACACCACTTTACAATGCCTTGGTAAGGCCACACTTGGAATACTGCATCCAGTTTTGGTCACCGCGATGTAAAAAAGATGTTGAGACTCTAGAAAGAATACAGAGAAGAGCAACCAAGATGATCAGGGGACTGGGGGCTAAAACATATAAGGAACGGTTGCCGGAATTGGTTATGTCTAGTTTAATGAAGAGAAGGACGAGGTGTGACTTGATAGCAGTGTTCCAATATCTCAGGGGCTGCGACAAAGAAGAGGGAGTCAAGCTATTCTCCAAAGCACCTGAAGGCAGGACAAGAAGCAACGGATGGAAACTAACCAAAGAGAGAAGCAATCTAGAACTAAGGAGAAATTTCCTAAGAACAATTAATCAATGGAAGAACCTGCCCTCAGAAGCTGTGAATGCTCCAACACTGGAAGTTTTTAAGAAGATACTGGACAGCCATTTGTCTGAAATGGTATAGGGTTTCCTCCCTGAGCAGGGGGTTGGACTAGCTGACCTCCAAGGTCCCTTCCAAATTATTATTATTATTATTATTATTATTATTATTATTATTATTATTATTATTATTATTATTATTATTATTATTATTATTATTATTATTATTATTATTATTATTATTATTATTAACTAGAAGAAGGCAAGATACTTCCATAACTGATACCAATGGAACTGTATGGATGTGCCCATCTAATTACTGGGTGTACTCGAGGGCATGTTATACTTTTTTAGCATTTTTTAGCATGTTAAGAGAGCCAGTTTGGTGTGGTGGTTAAAGTATAGGTCAGAAATTGGAAGACTGTGAGGTCTAGGCCTGCCTTAGGCACAAAGCCAGCTGGATGACTTTGGATGGTCACGCTCACTCAGCCCCAGGAAGGAGGCAGTGGGAAAACTCAGAGATAAGTCCATGCAGTTGCCAGAAGTCAATAATTCCTTGAGGGAAGGAGAGAGGGAGAGATATAGGTACAAGTGTACACACATGGGGGGAGGGGGAGAGAGAGATAGAGAGGGAGGGAGGGAGGGAGAGTTGTAGTGATCCTTACTTGTCTCTACTTTGAATATAACAAAAGGAAGGAACCTGTGGAATTATTGCTAAGATAATCATGTTCCCTGTCATACCATGCTTTATTGGTAGGCACTAAAACCTACTGTGCAGCATAGCAACACAGCCCTAATGGGGTTTTCTATAGTGGAAAAACAGATTTCTTTGAGACTATAATGGATCAGGATCCAATATCATCATCATCATCATCATCATCCATAAGAAGTATTTTGTATGTTTGCTATGGCATGAAAATAGAGGTTAGAAAGAATAAGGAAGGCAAAGAATTCTTCAGCTGAAGTTTTATTTGAATTTGAGAAGAACTTGGTGAAAATCATCTTTGTTTTCCTGAGGCAGCCATTATTGCATGAAATCCTGATACTTGTTACTGCGTTGCTAGCTCTGAGAATACCACAAGTATCTCTAATGACACGTGCATATTTATTAGTCTGCTTTGGTGACATTATCCTAAGTTGGATCAGAGTATTTTTTTTGTTTGTACTGCATCAGGAATTTTAACACTGAAATTATTAATTTTTATTATTTATTTGTTTATTTATTATTTATTAATAATTAATATTATTAATTATTGGCCCAATCAGATAGTATTCTCTTCACAATAAACTTGTGTTCCTGTATGCTCCTTTCCTCCCAAATCCGGCAAATGGATTGGAGGTATATAACACATGTGGGAAACATCCCATTTGGAAATCCTCGATATGCTGGAAGTGTGAAGAGACCGTTGGGAATTACAAAGCCAGCTGGATGACTTTGGATGGTCACGCTCACTCAGCCCCAGGAAGGAGGCAGTGGCAATGTTCAAAGGCACAAAAATTTTGGAACTTATTAAAGAAGTGGTTGGAAGAAATTTTGCAAATAGATATAGAAGCCAAATCAGAATTTTTCTTATTGGGAATTATAGAAAGAAAATATAAGAAAGACACAAATTATTTACTACTGCATATAGTAACAGTGGCACGACTAGCCTTCGCTCAAAAATGGAAAGAGAAAAATACTCCAACCGAAGAGGAAATATTATTGAAAATTTTCAATTGCTCTGAAATGGATAGACTTACACGGGAACTCAAGGACAAAAGTGAAACCAAGTACTATAAAATCTGGGAACAATTTTATGATGGGATAGACAATAAGAGGGTAGCCAAGATAAATGTATAGTGCTAGAATAAAATATAGATTACAGACAAATGTATATTTAAAAGATAAATAGATATATAGAAATAAGGGAAAAAGTGTTAATAGTATATTATAAATAGTGAGCAAAGTTCAAGAACTATATGTTTATATGAGTACTAATACTATTGTAAAATGTTGGAAGATGTATGGAACCAGTGACGTCATATCTATGTCCAATGTGTTTTTAATTTTGCATTATTAATAAAAAAAAATTAAAAAAAAAAGAAACATCCCATTTGGCTCAGCTAGTGAAAACATATCAAAAGTTACAGAAATAGAAATGTTCATACACAATTCCCTTTTGCAGAGATCAGGTTCTCAACTATAACCTTGGTAGAAGGCTACCGGCAGACCATGTGAGTGGATGTCTTCAGTTCAAGGTAGAGATTACATCTTCTCTTCATGAAGGTAAGATTTTGAAGTAACTACAAAAAGAGTTTTATGACTGAAAAATGTTCACAGAGTCTTAGGATGAACTTTTGATTAATTTGGATTTTTAACCTTGGAATTTAATGAATATGGCAATGATGTTTTCTAAGAAGCTTTGGGGGATGAAGTGACAGTAAAGATGCTAGAGCGTTGCTGGAGGAAAACAAGAGCCTACATTATAGAGATATGGGTGAAAAAAACCCATATTTTTTTCTGTTATTAAGTCTGTAGAATGCCAACTAGCAACTCTTTTTATGGTAACCTTCTTAAGGAATGAATGTGATGAATGGCTGCTGTGAAGAATCTAAGCATTTTAGATAAAGTTGCTGAGATTCACTCAGAGTTACAGTACATCTTAGCTGGGGAGATTCTTGTACTTGGCTAAGAGCAGGATCTCGCCATTTTATTTCAGAGAAGTTTGAACCTGTGAGGCCTAAGGAAATGGATGGGTCCTCTGTGGTGTTAGTGCTGCCACCTGTATTTTAAATCCTTGTTCTTCCTTCTATAGTCCCTGTATATCCTTCTTACTTGAGATGTCATGTTATCCCAGTTCTTTCAATTAGTTTCAATAGTTTCTTTCATTAATATTTCCTGTTTTGAAAGCTTATTTATAGTATTTCACTGGTAGGTCTTTTAACAGACGTTTGTACTTTTTGTACTTGCTAATTGGTCTACCTAATTAAAATCATTCTGTTGTCTAATCATTCTTAATTTCCTTAGCAATTACTGGTAACTAAGTATAAGTTCTGTACATTCCTTGTTTTCGATTAGAATTAATGCTCCCAAATTTTCTGATATTTACAATGAATTAATAAAAAAGAATATTAAGATTATAAAGTTTTATAGATATAAGCTTGCTACCCTTCCTTCCTTCCTTCCTTCCTTCCTTCCTTCCTTCCTTCCTTCCTTCCTTCCTTCCCTTCCTTCCTTCCTTCCTTACTTTCTTTCTCTTTCTTTCTTCCTTCCTTCCTTCCTTCCTTCCTTCCTTCCTTCCTTCCTTCCTTCCTTCCTTCCTTCCTTCCTTTCTTTCTTTCTTTCTCTTCCTTAAATTATTCTGTTAAATATCATGCATTTTATGGTTTTGTGTGAAATACATGGTAAGAATTTGGTTTTTCTTGTTAATCCATGTGCATTCAAAGGATGTCCAACTGGTTTCTATATTATGATACAAAACCTCTTTTTTAATGAAAAAGCAAGTTAATATGTAATATTTGAACTATCTAGTAGGTGCTGCTGTAGAAAATGTGCTCAGAATTTGAGGATTCCATTTTCTCTCAGGAACTTTATGGCTGTATTTTGCAAAAGATTATTCTTTATATGATCCTAGTTGCACATTCAAGACCTTGTGTTTAAATTTCTTCTTTTTAACTCAGTTATTATTTACCTACTAGAAATTGCTGCCTGCATTCAAAAGTGTATTTGGTTAAGGATGTGCAAACTGATTTTGTAGCTTAGAGATATGAAAGTTGAGTCCCTGTAAACTAGTGATCAAAACCAAACCAAGAATCCTAAACAATTGCATTGTTCCTGCTTCTCCTTAAAATGTTAGAATTGAAAAAAGGGAAGCAGGTCAAGTTTGCTTTCTAATCACACTAAAATAATTTGTTATCTGTGGCTTCTGTGGTCTTTTGAGGAACCATATTTATGTGGATATGCTGGTAGTGCATGCAGCTAATTATATACAGTAATTGTCACGTATAAGAATGTAACTAGTGCGGCAGCCCAATATAAACACTTTCTTCACTTTCAATTGTAGCTATCAGATTACCTGGAGCTGTGATGATCCTCCCCATACTCTTCGCCATTCTCCCATGTCTACTGCTGCCTCCTCATTGTAGCAGACATGATGCAGTTCTCAGGGGCTTTCTAATCTCTCTCGCTATTTCTCTGAAATTTGGCAGCTTGCTATATTTTCCTATAAATACAATCCAATTCTGTTGAAAAAAGAAGTTACCATTATGTGTTTCTCCATCGTTAGTTGATGGGAGGCATGTCTCATTTTGGATTGGAGTCTGAGATGAAGCAGAATGTATTGAATGGAGCTCCACTTGAAATCTTACGTTTGATGCATAACTGTAGGGTATTTCCTAAAAGGAGATTTAGTGAAATTTTAAAGGAAATTCATCAGTATAGTTCTGTACACAGAACTTTCTTGTGTGCTGCTTCTCTCTCGTGCAACCCACTTGGGCCCTCAAAATCTGTTAAAAATAGTGCCCAGTTCTGGAGAATGGTCTGAAGATTGGTGGTAGATGCAAGGAAAGGAATAAGAATCAGCATAGATAGGAGTATAAATCTATTCACATGATGTTATATTTCACCCAAATTTACTTCATGTATAACTTTTGTGTTATTTCCTCTTTAAATTCTTCATTCAAGACTGATAGCTTAGAAGTCCTATGTATTCCGTTCTGACAAAGTGCTGTACTGAGGTTGTCAGATAGAGAGTTAAGATTCACAGGTAAGGCACATGGATCAGTTTCACTCATCAGTCTTTGTCTTTTCATTGTAGATGCTTCACCGGAAACTGTAGGAACCTTTCTTGGAATAAACTCTGTCAATGGGGACTTAGGAAGCCCTTCTGATGATGAGGATGTACCCGCAGGGCATCATGATACTCATCCACTTTGTTCAAATGGGCCAATTCTTGAAGAATCATCTGGAGATGCCATCTTGCGGCATTCCTTTAGGACTAGTACAACTTCGGAAACAGATCAAGAGGATTCAGCCTCTACAACGTCAAGGTCCTCAGTTCCCAGGGGCCGCCAGGACTCCTTGAATGATTACCTAGATGCAATAGAACAAAGTAATCTTCCTAGATCTGGGACATCTACTGGTAATGAACGTACTATTGGGGCATCCCCAAAATTGAGGAGTAGCTTCCCCACTGATACACGACTTAATGCTATGCTTCACATTGATTCTGATGAAGAGGAACATGAATTCCATCAAAGTCTGGGTTTCCAGTCATCAGTGGACGATGATGGTGGTGGTTTAATTATGTTAAATGGTACTAGTAGAAATGATGAAGCAGCTTTCTTAAATGGCTCCTCAGGGGAAGTAACACAAAGCCAAGCCTCTGAAGAAATTGTGACAGCACCAGATGTAGAAATACCTTTGCAATCTTCCTGTTGTCAGGAGGAGACATCCAATGGGCCTGCTGAACTGGAGATAGCAGGACAAGAAACTGAAACTCCTCAGAATTCTCAGGATAATTGTTTGGAAGATTTAGCAAGCAATACCATTTCTGTACCTCAGGAGGCAGCAGAACAACCCATCTCTGGTGCGGATACTGGAACTTCTGAGTTAGTTTCTGGGAGCAAAAGGGAAATCAGGGAAGCCGAATCTATTGATCAAGGATCAGAACCTTCTCAGATTTCCTCAGAGACCGAGCAAAGTGATGCTGCTCATACTGAGAGTGTTAGTGAATCAAGCACCAGGCCAGAGGGAGAAAGTGACATAGAAGGGGCTGATGGCTCTTGCAATGAAGGCACAGCTACCCAACTCTCCTCCGTTGACACTGGCTGCTCTTCCTTTGAAAGCAATCGCTTTCCTGAGACTCCAGCCTTCTCTTCGCAGGAGGAAGAAGAGGGTGCTTGTGCAGCAGAGGCTTCCAGCAGTGAGCCTCTTCCAGAAATTCAGGAAGCTGTGTGCACTCAGGCCTCTTTACCTGCGGTGCACATACCAAGCAATCAAGAGGAAGGTCAATTGTTTGAAATGGATGGGCTGCCAGACGGTGATGAATCAGAAGAGATATGGCAGAGGAGACAGAACCTGCAGGCTGCAGCTACACATAACCAGTCTCAAGAGGAAGATATTAGAGGGGCATCAGCACCATGTGAAGGAGCTGCTTCACAGGAGGCTGGAGCTAGTGGAGGTAATCAGCACAAAAGAATGCCAGTAAGATGATTGATAGCTTACCTGTCTTTATTCCATGATTGATTCTATTTATCTTGGCAAGCTAGTTTAATTTTTAATTTTGAAAAATATGGTCCAAATATAAAATACTGGATTGTATAGCAACACCAATATTTTCCCAATCTGTGTTTATTTCTAATCTCCGTGCAAGTACTGTAAGAATCTATTTATAAAAGTGCATCAGTCTAACAACCCAGGCAGGATTTGGTTTACTTTGGTTTTACTGCAGATCATTTAGAGCAGTGGTGGCGAACCTATGGCACGGGTGCCAGAGGCGGCACTCAGAGCCCTCTCTGTGGGCACGCGCGCCGTCGCCCCAGTTCTAGGCCTTCAGCTGGGTTTTATAAAACCTTTTCACTTTAGGCCTCCGCCACCATGTGCCAAAAAAAAAAAGGTTCAATCAGTCAATTTCAACTTCTCACGGGAAAAAAAAAATCTTGCAAAGTTGGAATTGATTGATTGAACTTTTTAGTCCCATCCAGTCTGCCGTTACCGCCGCAGCCATGCCCACCCAATGGGCCATCCCCACCCAATGGGCCATCTCCACCCAATGGGCCACACCCACCCGGCACTCGACGATGCATAAGTGGGTTTTAGGTTGCAGTTTGGGCACTCAGTCTCTAAAAGGTTTGCCATCACTGATTTAGAGTGTCATGAAGGGTTTTTGTTCACATTGTTTAGTGTTGTCTAGTCCTTCAGACACTACATTGAAGAAGGCAGGTAGGCAGGCAGGCAAGCAAGCTAAATTGGTCAGGGGATTGGGCTAGATATCCTTCCCCTGCTTGGTGCCCCAGGGAGGGTTGGTATTACCATTCCCAGATTTTCAAACAAGTTGGTTGGGAATGCTGAGAATTATATTGCCAACAAATCTTGAAGTCACCAGACCTCAGGCTTAGGAGGAACCCCCACTTCCTCTCTGGGATCAGTCATCTTCTGTTTCTTTAAAAGTTGAATGTAGACTATGGCAGAACCAAGTCTGATTGGTCAGAAGTTCCATAATTTCTTCATAGCATTATTCTGAGATAAATAAATAAAAATTAAAGTCTTGTCACCTCTCTCCCCAAATGATGACCTTGAGTTCTTATACTGAGATTATACATTCTTTTCTTGGCAACGTAACACTATTGAAGGACACTTATTATTTTCTTCTCTCATTTATTCAAAGGACCATTTAATTATCCACAATTAAAAAGAATAAGACATAGGATGTAAGTTGTTTCTATTCAGAGATGTATTAGGTGCTTAATTACAGAAAGATCATCACAAGAGTTACCAGTGACATTCTCTGACTTCTTTTGACTTCTCCTTTCTACTGATCGCTGCTTTTTTCATCTTCTTCGTCCACATTTTCCTGTCCATTAAAAGAGCTGTAAAACCAAGCTGCTTCCTCGGGGGCTGGGCTAGGACATCATAGGATGCCATTTCTAAATGTGAATCACCTTATTAGTTTTTGTTTGCCTCCTTCCAATATGCCTGCTTTTGTGTTCTTTAAAATTCTTACTCCGTTATTTTCACCTTTGTGAGCTGCTCAGAATCTTGTGTACAAATAGCAAATATTGTACATGTTTTGATGGAACGTTTACATAGGATTTCTTTTGGATTTTAGGTTCTCAGCCTGATGGTCCTCAGCCTCTGAGATCTCTTCCCTCAGTTCGTCAGGATGTTAGTCGTTATCAGAGAGTGGATGAAGCATTGCCACCAAGTGAGGAACTTTTCCTGTTTTAATTAAAAATATAAAGAATACAGACTACGTGAAGGAGTACTTATTTTTTTTTCATAGTAAAGCATACCCAGAAGAATTTGAAGTAGCAGTAATCAGATCCCTGTTTAAAAAAAATGGATTGTGTGCTTCACCTTTTTTTTTCTCCCTAGAAATGGTGCTGCTGTGAGGTCCTTCTACTGGGAATCAAATTATATTACATGTGGTCCTCATTGAAAGACCACTCATTCAGCGATTGTTTGAATTTGTGACATTGCTGAATGAATGGTGGTTATGACCAGTCCTGGAATTTCCAGACGGCGCAGTGCTGCCTGCAGATATGTGATTGCAATCCAGGCACTTAGCAACCAACCAGTGTCCTGCAATGACATGATCACGATTTGCAGATTTTTCTGCAGGCTTCCACAAGCAAATCAAGGGAAAAGCCAGTCGGAAGTTGGAAGTCACAGTCACACGAGGCCCTTGTTTAACAACTGTAATTGGGGACTACCAGAACTACCGTTGCTAAGCAGCATAGTCACATGACATCACACTTTATGATGTGATGATTGCTTAGTGATGTAAGTTCCGGTCCCAATTACTGTCATAAGCTGAGAACCACCTGAGGAGAGAAATAGTCTGTTGTGGCATAAACCAGGTCCCTGCCTAAGTCATGGTTATCTATTCTGACAGACTCACAGTCTTCAAACTTTCAGATAGTTCCTTTCAAGTTGAGATGCTAGGGATTAAATCCAGGAATTCTACACACATGATTTGTATTTTGCAACTCCTCTGCAATTAACAATCCTAACCTGTGTGTTAAGATGCAGGAGTTCTACATTTGGGCTCCTATGAGCCCAAAATACTGAAAAGGAAGCCTCTCACTTTGTGTTTTGTTGGTCTGTCTCCATTTTGTATATGCGTCACACGTGTGTGTGCATACATATGCATTCTCTCTCTATGGCCATGATATGCAGAACTGCCAGTGTGTATGCTTAAAAACAATTGAATGAATAGATACATAAATAAAGTAGGGTCTTACTGTCAGATAGAAAACATTGCTTTAAGTTGTTAAAATCCTTAATATTTTGCGATATGTTTCTTATCTTAGATTGGGAAGCTCGGATTGACAGCCATGGGAGAATATTCTATGTGGACCATGTTAACAGAACCACAACATGGCAGAGGCCCACAGGTCCACCAGCCCAGCAAATCCTTCAACGTTCCAACTCTATACAGCAGATGGAGCAATTGAATCGTCGGTGAGAAATTTTCAGATAGTTTTTGTTTTATCTGCAGTACAAATGAAACACAGTGTAAAACTTCATCTAATCAAGGGCAAAACTTCATCACTGCAAATTACACAATTCCCTTGAATTAAACAAATGTAGAAATATTTACCTTATTCTTCATAGCTTGCATCATACTGAATATCAGTATTACCTAAGAAACAATTTCATATTTTGTGGGGGGAAAAGCATTAAAGATGTGGTGCAGACATAATTCAGTGCAAAAGTATAGGACTGATGGAGAACTTAATAAACATTATAGTATTAAAAATATTATTTTAGTCATTATAATATGGTTTGGCACCTATGAAGGTGAAATGTTTCCAGAATTTTAAACAGTTGCTGAATGAATTGTCATAAGGAACAATTGTATAGATTGGGGAACAATACATAAGGCAGATGGAAGTGTGGAAGTGTGGAAAGTAAATAACTGCTCACTGTTCAGAATTGCAACTTTCACAATGACTATCAAAAGTAATAAATATTAGTCATATTCTTTATAGGTTTGGCTAGCTATATTATTTCCATTATTGGTTCCAAATGCTAGTGTTTGGAAAAATGCACATCTAAAATTATGAGAGGGATTATTGTAAGGAAACAAACAAACCAAAATCCCCAGTTCCATTTTCTAGGTAGAATCATATTTTTGCAGCATTTTACTCAGAACAAAAATCAATAAGAAGGCAATGCCTTCCCTGAGATTTAGAACAAATAGAAAATGTATTGTGAAGGGAAAAAAAACAGCAAGCATGGGCACAAATTCTTAGTTAATAAATGTCTTATAATGTCATGCTTGAAATAGTTTAAGATGTGGAAGAGCAAGAAGTTCTTGAAGTAGACTGGCTGTGGTTTAACTTTTTATTAAACAAATAGCTTTTTAGTTGTACTACAAGAGAACTCTTCATTGCATGTATGGTGTGGTGTAT